CTTTCGTGCACTACATACCAGCCAGTTCTTAGAATAACTTCATGAATTCTGTGGTCACCCCTACGACATCTTAGAATATGAAACGCAGAAGCACCAACCCCTTGTTATGATAACATAAAGGTTGAATTTACTGCAGCTAATCTCACAAGCAGCCCGACTCACGGAGAGGCATTTCCTCTTGTTTTCCATCCACGGGGAAGAAGGCAAGGCCGCACAGAAGATGTGTGGTTAAAAAAAATGGCCAAAGAAAAGATACACAATATTGGTGTGGTGATTGCTTCAAGGCGTCACCTGCTTCCATTGCCGAGATACCGGGCGCTCATATTATAAGGCAAGGTTATAAAACCATCTTTTAAGATCATTTTAGTGAAAGTTTCATGCTTCAAGGCCTACCCTACACTGCTCAAATTCTAAACCAACTGCTTCCATTGCCGAGATACCGGGCGCTCATATTATAAGGTAAGGTTATAAAACCACCTTTTAATATAATTTTAGTGAAAGTTTCATGTTTCTATCTCATATAATTTAAGAACAATGATGAATAAATCATTTTCGAGCAAAATTTAAATGGACGGCTGAATATATTACCGCCGGAGAGACACGGCAGTGGAATTTAAATGACCGCGCGAAAGGGTTAAAACAGTGTAGCAGTTTTTAACAGTTTTAGTAAAATACCTGTAACATAAAAAACACGTGTTAGGCCAAAACATGCAGTGTTGAAGTATAGAATGTAAAAGTGTTGCAATTTTGATGGAAGGTAAACAACGGACGCAAAAATCAGACATTCTTAAGCGTTATGCCAATACACACATCTTTTAATGTTGGAGGACATCAATGTCAACAGTTGTTATAAAATGGAACCAAGTAAAGTGATTTCAACGACAAACGGCTTTTTAAAACAGACTAATCCAGTCTGAGCTTCAGCAGCAAGTGGTCTCTCCTCTTTTAAGACTACTTACAAAATGGCCAATGTCTTGTGCCTCACAAGTGAAATTACACAGTGAACAACTGGATGTCTGCCAGTATGTAAAAAAATAAATTAACAATTAAGTACACGAGATGCAGTTACAATGGACCTCTGCTACAGCCAAAATTTTCTCTGCTAAAAACAGGCTGAAAAGCTATGGATATGTAGTGGTCTATTACAGAGGAAAAGATAATGTTTATGTTTAATTTATCATCCAGTCTGTAAAAAGAAATCCATAACCAGAATGACGGAATACAAAATATGCAGTCCACCTTACGACAGTACATATGGTAAAAATGCAATCCTTCTGCAATGTTTTTTTGCATAAATTAAATTTTACAATAAGACATTTCATTATTAATTTTATATTTGTCCCTGTGCTTCAATAAGCACCATGCAATAAAGACATATGGCAGCTACAGCTCCACACTCTTAAGCCTGTACTAGATGGATGTGAGTGGTATGCTTCAGGCCCTGTCCACCTCACTCCCTGGATTATGACCCCCACACTGGCTGGAGAGGAGATTGGGTGGGTCCCAGAAAGATATTCATTATGACAAAAAAATATGTAAAATTAAAAAAAATATATTAATTATGATAAACCATATTTGGTTCATGTTTGCCGGGCTAGTGTCAAAAACAAAGAATTACTGGTACCAATCCCGAAGATCTGATATTTGAGTGCAAGATATGTCACAGATCTGAACACATCTAAATTATTTTTAAAAAAACATTTCACATTTGTGAAATGAATGCCCACGACATTCTACTGCTATTCTTCTTTACATGCAAACATTTCACATTTGTGAAATGAATGCCCATGACATTCTACTGCTATTCTTCTTTACATGCAAACATTTCACATTTGTGAAATGAATGCCCATGACATTCTACTGCTATTCTTCTTTACATGCAAACATTTCACATTTGTGAAATGAATGCCCATGACATTCTACTGCTATTCTTCTTTACATGCAAACATTTCACATTTGTGAAATGAATGCCCATGACATTCTACTGCTATTCTTCTTTACATGCAAACATTTCACATTTGCAACATAAGATGAGGCAACAACTTCTACAAATGATATATAAGAGTAATCACAAACTTACCAATTTAATGAATTCAAACATCTCTAATATTGCAGAATCCAGCAGGTTATATCTCCCATTGTTCCTTACAAATGCATCAATAACTGGCGCAAAGAGGTTGCCCTTTATGATATATCTGTTGTAGAATTCATCTTTCAGGGCAATTATCTTCCTCATAAACCTCAATGCACCTAGAGAACATGGACGTTAGTTAACCAGAGCATCTTAACAATTTGGTAACATAAGTACATCAGACACAAACTTCAGTAATTACATTATTTAAATCTTCATTTTAACTAAAAACGTGTTTTATTATGTGTCACCCAACGGGAAAAAATATACCAAGTTATTACAGAACGTCTTGATATCAGACACCTTTCAGCCAAGAAACTGCATAAGTTTGTCCCATGTAACCATAGCACTGGTAACCTCAAACTGCAGAGCAGTGAATGGCCTTCAGATATGGGGGATAAATATAATGTACACACATAACCGAGGAGTAAACATGGGGGTGGTACTGCCAGATATGGGGAGCAAGCAAAGAGAAACAATATCTCAATGCATCAGGAAGCTCTTAAGAAATGGTACAGTAGGACCTTGCTAATTTGATACTGGTGAATTCAAAGCACTGCTGAATTTGAAGCACGTGCCATTCCTTACTCTTTAAAATATGACAGTTTGCTTCAGTACAGTTCATTTATGATTTTAAGCAATAGTCAATCACTGTGAGATGTAACATTTGTATAATTCAAACTCATTCCTTAATGCAGACTCTGTGAATTGTGTACAAATGCATTTTCCTTTCCTCAACTCTCCCAGAATCATATGAGCTTGACAGGAGCAGCAGGTATCTGTTGAGAAGTCCAGAGCGTGGGGGAACAGTAAGTTGTCCAATAAAAGAGAGGCCATTAACACCACTGTTCATCCTTGAGGAATGCATCCTGTTGTGTTTATATATTCATTTTCATATTCATTCCTGTCAAACACAACAGTTCACCCAATGACTCACTCACACTGTTGTGTGTAACTGAGTTTACTGGTCTAGAATACAGTGTCGCTACATGTTTCTGCTCATAGAGCCATCCTCAGGCGATAACAATAAACAAATCTTTTACTGCTGAATGTTCTAGAATACAGTGTCGCTACATGTTTCTGCTCATAGAGCCATCCTCAGGCGATAACAATAAACAAACCTTTTACTACTGAATGTTCTAGAATATAGTGTCGCTACATTTTTCTGCTCATAGAGCCATCCTCAGGCGATAACAATAAACAAATCTTTTACTGCTGAATGTTCTAGAACATAGTGTCGCTACATGTTTTGGCTCTACATGACAAAACATGAAGCAACCATATTCCAGACTAATAAGCTCAGCAATACATAACACTGTGAGTGAGTTGTTGGGTGAATTGTTTGACAGGAATTAATATGAAAATTTATATATAATACTACTGTGCATATTATGGGAGTCTCTGGTGCAACACAGAAACAAACTTTTATCTTCACCCGCTCCTGTGACAGTCTCTCGAATGCTTCACACGTTACCAACTCACCATACCTCTCTCTGACATAATGCAGATAACCTGGCCACAAACAATATAGTGATGAAGAGTACTACCTTCTGGGATGTAAAGCCCTGTAGTCTCACAGCAGTCAAACAATGTTCCCTGGAAATTACATAATGTCCTCTTCATAGTCACTGCTCTAAGAACCTCCAATGCGGCAATGTACAGTAACACTTCTATACCTTCCACTGTAGTATTATGGCAAACTGACAACAGCATGCAATGACTGGGGAGTAGTTCCAAATTACAGCACTGTCACATCAGAAAATGTGGACACCTAACTCTCCTGATAACACACATTTAAATTATCAGCTCAGGCCAACAGGCAAAGTTCAAATGACTAATTCACAACAAAGGAAGTATGTTAGCATACACAATTTACATCCCTCAAAGACTGTATAAATAAGGACAAAACTGGCTGAAGACTAACAAACACAGCCAGACTGTTTGGCTGTCCCTTTCCACTTCATATTTTAATGCATATGGTGACAAAAATGTTCATCCACCACATGCAAATCATAGTCAGTAGTACCAATATTTGAGATTTATTATGTCAACTTTAAAACATGTGTAATAAAAAAAGGGTTCCCATACATTCCTCAAAAATAAGCATTTACATATCATTACTTCCACTAAATATCCCATTGGTTAAATCCAGAAATAAACACTGGATAATTCAAAATTATGTAATTAAAGCTTGTATTTACATACCAGAGCACTTAATCAAGGTTTTACTGTAATGGACCTTAAAGTTCAACAAAAACAGTAGACCAGGTGTGAAACTAGTAGCTTCTCAAGAAGCTGGTCCACAGAGTTATAGGAAAACCCCCGTTAGGGTATCTCTGGGTAACAATGGATTTGAACATAAAACTGAGGAGAATCTTGCATGGAAGAAATTTAACATATATTACTGACTCTGGATTTGGATGTTAAATCACAGAACAACATAAACTGAGGAATATGACTGGGGTTGCTGAATTACTGGATTATATTTAGTATAACTACTGTACAGTAAAAGGTAAATTTGTCCCTCTGCTCAACTAATTAAGCACTAGGCCATGAAGGCATATGGGGGAGTGGATGTATAGTTCCACACTTTCTTGACGTTGGCATTAGAGGTGAGTGGTCAGCTTCATGCCCCAGCCACTTTACCCCAGAGAAAGAGCCCCCTGGTGCCAATTGGATAGGAAGTTGGGTGGACCCAAAGCCTGTCTGGACAATGTGGAGAAAATTCTTGACCCTCCTGGGACTCAAAACTCCAACCCCTTGCTCATCCAGCTCGTAGCTGGTTGTTATACCGACTACGCTATGCTGGTTCCTAGTACAACTAATGTAATTAGATTAAAACTGCTGTTCTTTACCTGCATTCAGATAATTCTTCCTTATGGTACTCAGGAATGTGGAAACTGACCTCAACATGTAGAAATTTAAACCCCAGAATACGTAGGTCGTACTGAAAGTCATGAGCAACAATTTTTTGTAAAGTAACATACTTTATTATTGACAAACCAAATACACCACCTCAATCTAGAGACCTTTCTTTATTTTTCCACATAATCGCCACTTCTTTGTACACATTTCTCCCAGCGTTCTAGGAGTTTGAAAATTCCCCTTCTGTAAAATTCTGTTCCACCCATCCGAAGACACTGACACACTGCTTTCTGAATTCAGCGTGCTCATGGAAGTGTGGGCATGGGTCCAAGCAATGTTCGAAGATACTGGAAATATTTTAAAGATGTGAACACCAGCATCGAAGATGAGCCTCGGAGCGGTCATCCTCGAACAGCCTCAACTGACCGCAACAAGGAAAGAGTGGATGAGATCACTCAAGATGACAGGCGTGTGACTGTGTACACAATAGCCCAAAAATTTTGGAATAGGGCACAGTGCAGTACAGGAGATGATTGAAAGCTTGGGCTATAGGAAAGTTTGTGCTCGTTGGGTTCGCGGTTATTGACCGAAGACCACAAAGGTCACATTGGAAGCAATTGCAAAGATGGAGTGGGAAGTTCTTCCACACCCCTCCTATAGCCCTGATCTGGCACCCTCCGACTACCATCGTTTCGGGTTTGTAAAGGATCAGCTGTGTGGACATTTTGAGACAAGGGAGACAATTCAGAAAGCAGTGCGTCAGTGTCTTCGGATGACTGGAACGGAATTTTACAGAAGGGGAATTTTCAAACTCCCAGAACGCTGGGAGAAACGTGTACAAAGAAGTGGCGATTACATGGAAAAATAAAGAAGCTCTGTAGATTTAGGTGGTGTATTTGGTTTGTCAATAATAAAGCATGTTACTTTACAAAAAATTGTTGCTCATGACTTTCAGTACAACCCTCGTAGCTTTAAAAGGGTAATCAGTTTTTCAACAAGCATATAATTTATAATATTCCTAATCATAATTTTGCCTCCCCCTTCTCATTTCAGAAATTAAGGAAGACAACACTAGTAGCCAGAGAGATGACCTAACAACCATATATTCTCTGGGTCCACTGAAATGTGCTGGAACTTTATGGACTGTCAACATGTAACTAGTAAAAGAGCTGCCAAATTTTTCTTCAAAATGTGCCTGCACTGTACTTACAAAGCACGAGGAATGTGTGTGTAGACTTCATGAGTACCAAAATGCGCCTAAGTAGATCCTTGTTGAGAATGCAGTTCTTGATGTGGTAAGTATGATGTTCCACACAGAAGGACAGCAACTCCAGTATGAGACCCAACAGCTGCACAGTCTGATAATCTTCTTTCGCGGGATGATCTTCAGCTGTATTAGCTAGTAATGGTGCTACAAGCAAGAATACTGATCAGTTTCTAATGCCAGTTACAGATTTAGTCCGAACAAAGTTCCATGAAGACAATCACTCCTACATTACTGACAAACACTCAGATAAATATCCAAAATATCCATTATATTAGCTACCATCCATCACCAATGACAAACTACACAGTACATCATACTGAACATCAACAACCACATATACAACATAACCACTCAATGCTGCAAGAAGACTCCCTACACAATTCACACTACAACTCAAAAAAAATTATTAATACTAGCAACATAATGCATCAACTTAAAAGGTTTTAAAAAGTTGTAATCGATTTTAACAAAATTCAGCAACAATTTAGACCTGATTTTAACCAAGTTTTGCTCCGTTTTAGAACAATGAACTAAAATCAATACATCACAGCAACTACAACTATAATCTACCTGATAACCTTATAACGTTCAAACATGTTGTAGAAGAAACAGCTACAATACAAGACAACGCAGTAGACCACCAGCCTACAAACTTTTAAACTTTCTGAACTTTAAAGAGAAGTACTTTCTGTCCAATATGCACTTGTTCCTTGACTCAGAAACACACCGCCTCCATCTTCAGGGTAGAAAATTCATGTGAAGGGGAGAGAACAGATAATGACACAAGGATCAAATGTGCTGGGGCCAAGGGCACAGCAGTTCAATTGTTAGAGGGTCCCAATAAGGGCCAGTCTGGACAGGCCAAGCCCCAGTGTATCCCCTGAAGGAGGCATCCAATGTTCCTTCAGAGAGTACATGAGATGCTTCCATGTCTTTTTAAGCAGAGGTCATCCTCCTTGTCCTCACTTGAGTACTTTCACTACAGCCTCCTATTACAAAAGTTCATTCAAATCCCATCACCAGTTTTGAAAATCAACACACACAATTTCCCAGAATGCATTTACTATATGCACTCTGCACAAGGAAAACACAAAAACAAAGTACAAATGGAGGAACTGCTCAAATAAAACAACCTGAAACTCTCCACATTATGTGACAGTACTGTAATGAGTCATTTTAAAAGCAATCATTACATCACATGCTTCAACAGATACCAACGTAAAGCTCTCCTTTTAACAGGGCATGAAGGCCCAAGGGCTGTGAGACATTAAGGCTCCCACATTTTCTCTAGACAATCAGCTCACAGATGGCAGTATAGTAATCAGCTTTACATACCAGCCACCCTTTACCTCCCCCAAGATGATGCCTGATACTCATTTCCATTAGAGGCTGAGCAGACCCCAGGGCCACAACACAGCTACAAAAATTAGGTAAACTGAAAGATCCAATGACCTCATCGGGATTTTAACCCGTGACTTTCCGACTTGTAGCATAGTGCCTCAACCAACCATGCTACCAGGAGCCCTAAGATATACCAAAATATATAAAATATACATACCAATAAGAACATGTATACTGTGCTTGTAGAAATAATTAAGGAAGTCAGTTTTCTCGGATTTGTTGACGGAAGCTAGCATGTTTTCTGGGTCTAGAAGTATTCTGAGGATGCCCATCAGCTGCACAGCGCCCCCCAGCTCTGGGTCATTATCACAGATCATTTGCTCAATCACCACGTTGATTAACATTTGGTCCTGCAAACAATCATTCAACATAACTGTTCATGATCTTTGATCACGTGGAAAACAATTCTCATCTCCAAAATGGGACATGATCAACAAGTCTGCTAAGCAAACTATGAACCTGACACAGGTGATCTTGAAGTTCCAGTCGTGGATGGCCCTTGACATGAAAACGACTAGCCCACGAAGGTTCTTATGTACCAACCAAGAAGTCATCCAAGAAACTTCTGCAACTCTATAAATTCACTAATCTCATTTACTTTCAAAGTTAATGTAAGAATAAATGTATTTAATTCTGATTGCTAATTGCTATAAAACTTTCAAAGTTGCAAATAGGTTTTCTGTAATGCTGTAACACATTTCAAAATTCACAATCGGGCTGTTAAATCATCTGTTTCCTTTTACGTGCCTTACAGAAGGTTTTAAATTACTTCAGTCAGACTGTACATAATGATTAACCAAGAAAAACTGAACCTCTGTTTATACCAACAATATAGAAAACTGGCCCACATATTTTAATTACACAAACAGTAATATACGTGTACAACAGGCTCAGAGTCTGCAAAAATCAAAACCCATAATAGTTCCTAGTCTTCATTTTGGGATGTGGAAAAAGTAAAAGTGATAAGCTACTACACTAACCTAGTCCTTCTACTGTTTCACTTTTATGTACACAACATATTTCACTTTCAACTAATCAATGGTCGTCTTTCAGTGTGCAATCACTTTCATGTCATTACTCTTCCACACTTTGATTTTATGCTATTACAAAGATATATAACAGATAAAGATTGTAATTTATGGGTTTGGGTATTACCTGATTCTGAGATTTTCCCATCTGAACAGTTCCATTCTCTGGAACATAACATCATTCTGTCCATTTAAAGTTAATTGATGTGTCAGAGGAACCTGCTGCCCCATCCTCATGTTGAGTATTGAGACAAGCTGGTTTCTTGCTTGGCTTACACTTCAACCATAATGACAGAAGCAATATGTTCTTCCAAAACGTCATCTGACTTTCAGCAGATCACATGATATTATAACCCAGAAGACACAAATCTTCTGAACCACTGCTATGAGAACATCAAATCCTACTTTTTTTCCATTTCATTTCGTACAAAGAACTTAATCACCTGGAAGCCTCTTCATGAAAAAACAGTACATACAAATTTAACAGAAGTTTTCACTGTCAGTCCTGGCCAGTAAGAAGCTTTTCACTGTATTGATATATTTATTAGAAACCCTACTAATATTATGTGTTTCTGTTCATTTATTTCCTGGATAGCCCTATAACACTCAAATGCTGTATAAACATTACTTACTCCCCTCTTAATTACAGCCATACAAAATCATTTTAACAGTATAACTATGTAGGAACTTCAGAACAAGGAAGCAGAGACAATTACATGAAGAGGTTCATGAGCTTTACTCTATAACAAAGACACTGGGTGATGAGAACCGTGTTCACAGTTTTAGCCAGAATACCTGTATGGAATACCTTGGCATAACTGGAATAATATTGGAGGTAAAGCTATCCCTGTAACAGGCTATGGAGGCGCCTGGGGTTGTGAGACATAGAGGCTCCCACATTTTCTAGACGATCGGCTCACAGATGGCAGTGAGGCTGTCAGCCTTACAAGCTGGCTGACCTGCCCCCCCCCCCGCCAACAGAAGATTCCTCATACTCACTTCTGTTAGAGGCTGAGTCGACCCAAGACCCATAGTGCAGCTGGAAGGAGGTCAATTAAAAAATACCATGGCCTCATCAGGAATCAAACCCACCACCTTCCAGCCTGTAGGATAGCGCCTCAACCATGCTACCACATGTCCCAGAATAATATTAAAACAGATCTTAAATGGGTAGCGTGTGGACTGTATTCAAATTACACTGAATAGGGAGTAAAGGTAAACTCTTCTACACAGTACTTAAACAACTGTAGAGTTCTGATGACGGTGTATAACATTATGGATTACTGAGTTTCTGGACACTGTTCATCACATGTAATTCTAAAGAAAAGAACAGGTGCCTCCTGCCTCTCACCTGACGACAGTATCCCAAACAGTAATGAATATTCAGTTCTATAAAAGGTGGGGCATTTCTGGACCAGCTGAGTGACCTCTCCTTGTCAAGACGGATCCTACATCATGGAGTCAAAACTATACAGGAAATATATTACAGGAATTTGCCACAGAGAATCAAAAATGTACACTCTTGTGGCAACTGATATGGCAGCTACTAATATGCAAAAGCTGAGAAAATCAGTTCTCTGAATTTACTGTGTTTACCCATATAATTTACATATCCCTGCCTACAGACAAGAAAATTTGGGTAGAGGGATTAAATGCCACAATTTTACCCCCCAATTTCCAGTCATAAATGTGTGGTGAAACAGATGTAAGTACAGTATGTGCCAAAATATGCACTACTGAAACTTGTGCATCTTGAATGCGCATGTGCATTTGTCAATGGGGCATAGCTCCAGCTGCACGTATTACCAGTACTTAAAATGAAGTTGTGTTGTGCAGTTTTGTTGGAAATGGGTCTCTCGACAGAGGAAAAAGTATCCATAGTTGAGTATTATTTCCATTCATATGTAAGTGGTCGCCAGACAACTCGCTTCATTGGTTTTGAGTGGCCAGATGTTATTGTCCAGAAACTGCTATACAGTACACGTGTGACGATATGGTATTAGGCCCCTATTTCTTCGAGGATGAAGAAGGCAATGCTCTTACAGTCACCCAAGAATGCTACAGGGACATGGTGATCGGATCATTTCTTCAGGATTTGAGAAGACTCTGTTGTGCAAGGGGCCTTCACATGAATAGACAGTGGTATCAACAGGATGTCTTTTCATTTCAGTATTGTATATTTTGGCGCATACTGTACTTCACATAACCAGCCCTTCCATTTGCTGCCCAGAACCAGATTTACATATCATCAGTACTACAAGAAGCGTTAAAAAGAAAGCTAGAGCTATCCCTGTAACAGGCCATGGAGGCCCACAGGGTTGTGAGATGTCAAGGATCCCACATTTTCTAGACAAATGGCTCACAGATGGCAGTGAGGTTGTCAGTCTTATGTGCTGACCGTCCTTTATCGCCCGGAAGATTCATGGGACTCATTTCAGTTAAAAGCTGAGTCAACCCCAGGACAATAGTGCTGCTGGAAACATCTGGTCAATTGAAAAATATGGTGACCTCATCGGGAATTCACACCTCGAACTTCCACCGTCTAGCACAGTGTCTCAACAAAATACACTACATCATGCCCCCAAACAAGTGTTTATGCCAATTCAATTCACAACATACAGGCAGTTTCAGATAGGAAGAGATCTAGGAGACCAGCCATTCTGACTAAGGCTAAACTGGCTGAAGTGGAGAAAATGTTGCAGCATTCCCCTTCAAACCCTGAGGAGACTATCAGCGCACTCAGGGATTTGGTACGAAGAGCTCAGAATGCAATGAAGAAGTTACACCTTTGTGCACATCGTGTTCGCTGTGTGCAGGAACTGAAGGACCTGAATAAAGAAAAATGCTTAGTGTACTGTAGATGGTTTCAGACGTTTGTTGGCAACCATGGAACTGAAGAGTTTTATCAGGTTTTCTTCACTGACAAAGCATGGTTTCACCTTAGTGGCTACATGAACAGTCGAAACAACAGGATCTGGTCATCTGAAAACCCATATGTGTTACATGAAAAGCCCTTGCACTGTCAGAAAATTGGAGTGTGGTGTGCTGTATCACACTGTCAAATAGTGGGTCTAATTTTCTTTGAAACAACAGTGAACAGTCCAGTGAACTACACAGTTTATTGCGCTTCTTTAAGTTGATGAACGAGAGTGTTGGTTGCAACAAGACAGTGCCACATGTCACACATCTAATGAAACCATGCAGTTCTTCCACGAGTTTTTCAGTGACGGTCTCAATTCGAAAGGATTTTGGCCCCCGTGTTCGCCCGATTTGTCACATGCAGATTTCTTCCTTTGGGGGTACCTCAACGGAATTGTCTATAAAAACAATCCGCATACACTGGATCAACTCAAGCAGAACATTATGATGGCGATCAACAGCATCAGTTTACAGGTGCTCCACAAAGTGGCCTCAAATATGGTAAAAAGAGCTCGCACATGCACTGCTGAACAGGGAAGCCATTTCGAGCATATGTTGTAGACATGATTTGATTTTGCATTTCTAAGATGTAAGGTTATAAACATTAATAGTAAGGGCTGTACGTCTTGTAGTTGTGCATTAAACCAGCAAAATATAATTGCTTAGTGTGATGTGTGCGACTTCTCGATCTCCCCGTATAACCAAGCAGCACAGAAAAGAGTGTACCTTCATCAGCAACTGCTTCTGCCTTTCATTACTTTCTTTTCCACTTGTCTGTGTTGAGAAAAACTAATTTCAATTCAATAAACAGCAGCAGTTCTAGGAAACTGAAAGGGGGCGGAGGGGAACATGTCATGAAAATAATTTATTGCAAGTGGACCTCCCACATTATGTGTGTCACATGCTGGGTGCCATATTTTGCCAGTTTTTGTTTGTTATTGTGTTAAATCACATATAATAATCAGTAGCTTGAAAAAAGTATAGAGAAATGTGTTACACATCTAGTTCTAAATACATGGATATAATTTATATGGAAAAGGAGATCATACTTTCTTTTCACACAACTCATCCACAATATTACGCAGCTATAATTTTTCTAACCTGAACCTGAGATGTAAAATTATATTCCAAAAGAGGTATTCAATATTTTGCACACCACAATCTTCAAATTTCTGGTTCGAATGTCGGTAAATTACACTCAGTAAATACAGTAAGATCTATTGTACTGACTGGTCCAAATGTGAACATAACTTACAAATACAGAAGGTGCCCTCAACTCTGATATGCTTCACAGCTTTGAAAATTATTTGCCTGCTGTAATCGAAGTGGAAACCTCACACCTGCTTTCAAATTATTTTCAAAAACCTCTCTGACATTCCTCTCACTAGTTCTTCAGCACCAGACAGTGACACAGCATGGAATATGTCAAATGGATCAGTGCTTCTTGTAAGCTTACATTTCACCATTAGAGGCTTTCATCCTTCCTCTGCTGTATTTCGCATTTCACATCACAAAGAAATTTGAAGCAAATGACAAAGCATGCAAAACTTGATCTCTCTCGGTATTACTATCCAGATTTCCTCATGCTGACCTTGTAAAATTCACCAGCATTTTACTAATATATGAGAAATTAAATAGATTATGACAATGAAAATCACAAGCATTTGAATCACATATGATCTAAATATGAAACTGAGCAAACTGATGCTGCAAATACAGTGTGATTTACTTGGAGGCCTCAAACCAATAATTATAAAACACACAATAATCTAGAAAAGTACATACCTTGGTAGATGTGAAGAGAGTTGGGTTACACAAGATGCAGAAATCTGTTTTCCTCTGCCTGGAAACAGGGCGACACAACACTCTGCGTTTGCGAATACTGCAGCCAACATGGCAGAAGGGATTTCCACCATCACAGAAATAGCATCAGGCGGCACCAGGTCAGTTTCATAACGATTGTGTGATTTATAATTACTAGATCAAGGGCTCTCTGTATCAATCATACTGTATTATACAACATGTCTACAGCAGCAAAGAAATGCTGAATTCTAGGAGGTTAAGTATTCTTTACCAGTACATAAACCTTTACTTTGCACTGTCTTTTTCAAACCGTAATATCCCTAGAACTGACAATTACGCAAGTCCATTTCTAACAAATCAGGAGGACACATAACAGGATACTATTACCTCACAATCTTCCTTACTTTGAAAAGTAACCAAGCAACTTACTTCATCTGTATTGCTGGTCTGTTGTAAAGTGTAGTCGCGGACGACGGACGGAGAGAACTCAACAATATAAGTAAGAATATCAATGGATGCTGTTTTTGTCTGAGCATCATCTGCTGCTAGGGTGATCTCCAAAGCTGGGAGAATTCCCAATGAGGAAAGAGTCTGTAACAAATTAGAACTGACTGTGTACACTTATTTTCAGTAAAGAAATATTAACCTTTAAGAGACGGACCATTTAAATTCCGGTAATGGAAGCGGGTGGGAGTTAATTTAAATGCCCGCCATTGTAGAGTAATAAAAATTGTAATCATGTTACTCAAAATGCTGTGATTTCTACAATTTTTGTGATGAACGAAATAAACGCTACTTTTATCTAGAAAGAATATAGAATCAGATATTGTAATTTACAGATTTTAGAATCTGCAAAAATTGTTACATTGATTCCAAAAAAAATGTTTCCCCAATTTTGAGCGTCTGTCCACAAAAATGCATAAAGCTTCTGCAGTATAAATGCATATTGCTGATACATGGTCTGACTATGTCTTATCTGGAGGAGTGAGAAAGTTTATGTTTTCACTGCACATTCTCCAGTCAGGGCTTCTTGTATACACGAGTGTGGGCTAGTTCTTATCCTTCTTTGTCCTTATGAAACTGTGCCTGTTTATACATGTATGTCGGACTATCCACACAGAGTTACTGTTCTTGGAATATCCCCATTCCCCTTGCGTCCTCCTCCCTTCATAACCGACTGTACCGCATTCTGAATGGTGTGATTTACGAGCGGCCTCTCAATTTCGGCTTCTTCCATGCGAAATGGGGCCATGGTGCATAGTTGAAATTGTGATCTTTTATAAGTGTTACAAATAGAGGAGACCACACGCCATCACTGGCCTACTTCCTGCTAATACGAGACAGATGTTGCGTGTGTGCACTTCGCATGGAAAACAGAGTTACATACGGACAAAGTGCATTAATTGTGATGTTGGACTCTGCATTCAGTTAGATGATGCAGGAGGGAAGACAGTCTGCTTATAAAGCTGGTGTCCAAAAATAATGTAAGTAGAACAAGAATTTCTATCTTAAAATTAGATTTTAAAACACTGTGCGCACGTGTGGACTGCGAGTCACCATACGGTGTCTTTCGGCCACTCGCCTTTACTTTAAAGGTCCCCATACGGTGTCTTTCAACTCATAAAGGTTAAGTAACTGTCCACAAGTAAGAAACTATACCTTATAAAACGTCTCTTTTCCTTGAGGTTGTAAGTTTTGTGAAAAGTTACAGAATTCTTTAAGAAAAAGTACCAGGTCCCTGCGTTTTTGTTCATCAGTTCCTTCGTCTGTTAGTTGTGCAAAAAGTTCACTGAGGAACTTTTCATCCTCCTACAAAAGATCAAAGTTATATAAATTAGTAACATAATAAGGTTAAAACTGATTTTCATTTTCAACCCACCAGTTATATGGATTATATAGCACACTGAATGAAGTTAAAAAACTTAATTCCATAAATTGTAAATAAGATCTAAAAGTCTGTGACAATGGTACATTAATACAGACTTGCTTCTAGACATTATCCCGCATCCTGTTTTTGTTTAAAATACAATGTTGCAGAGACTGGATTCTGTCTGTCTTCAGGTAAAACCTACTCAGTTGGGCCCAAGTGATAGAACTAGTCCCTCTCTCTGGAAACCTGCACCAACACATGTTAGGGTATACAAACCAAGCACAGCAGGCACGACCTGTAGAGTTAAGACAAAACACTAAAACATTAAAAAAAAACTCCATGTGTTGTGTTGGTACCATATAGAGAATTTCTCTCTCCAGTGATGACTTCTCTCCTGATAGTATTCTGGCGCTATGCCTCATACACAGTATGTCCAGGTTCTGTTAGGACTGTGTTCATTAAAAATACAAGACATGAGTTATTTTCAAAATTTCACTCTTTTTATTCAAAATAGTCTCCTTCTGAATCAATATATAGCTGGAATCATTTGAAAAGTTTTTGAAAACAGTCACTGTACTCCTTTTGTGGAATCGCATTTAAAACAGCGGTACATTCCCTTTGGATGTCCTGGATGGTGTCATGATGGTCTCCTTTCATCACCAACGTAACTTTTGGGAACAACCAGAAATCTGCTGGAGCCAAATCTGGCAAATACGGAGGATTATGAAGGACTGTGATCCCTCTTTTGGCCAAAAAAAATCGTGCATGATCTTCGATTTGTGGAGTGGGGCATTGTCATGGAGGAGTGACCAGGAACCTTGCTCTCAATATTCAGGTCGAATTCAAAGAATTCTCGCCCAAAAAAGATTGAGGACCCCGAGATAATAATCAGAATTCACTGTTTGACCTTCTGGCAGAAATTCCTTGAGAATGATTCATTTGGAATCAAAGAAAATGGTTAGCAGTGTCTTTACTCACCTCTTTTGCATGCGCACTTTCTTTGGGCTCAACCACGCTGCACTCTGCCGCTTTGTGAGAGGGTCATATTGAAAAAACCATGACTCGTCACCAGTAACAATCGATTTTGTAAATTCTTTATCACTTTGGGCAGACCGTAACATGTCTTTGCAGTGTTCCACTCTGGCATGTTTTTCATCGCCTGACAGCACGTGCGGTGAAAACTGTGCACAGACCTTCCGTTTGCCCAAATCCTAGGTCAAAATTTGATGCACAGTACTTTCTTGTAATCCCAAACGCTCATTGATGAGTCTTGCAGAAACACATCTGTCTGATGCAAGGATTTCGGTCACTTTTTTCAATTTTCTTCAGTTCAACTTGTTCTCGGCTTTGATGCACATGGAGCATCTTCCATGTCCTCCCTGCAGTCACGAAATACAGCATACCATCGAAAAATGTTTGAGCGACTCAAACAATCACTACTGTACACACTTTTCATCATTCTGTATGCTTCTCCAGCTGTTTTGCCTAACTTCAAACAAAATTTTATGTCGGCTCTCTGTTCAACCGCCATTTTCCTACGAGCGCCAGAACAGTACTGTTACATTCAAGGTCAAAACACATGATGCAGCAATGCTTACACTTTGAAATTATAGACAGCCACAGCTGAAACTTCAAAAATCTTAACACCACAACTTGCCAACAGATGGCACTGCAGGGCAAAATTTAAAAAATGAGTCCTAACGGAGCCTGGACACACCGTGCATGTGCGGAGTTTTCTAATGCTTTAATGTTCTTTCTTAACTCTTGCAGATGGTGTGTATTATGCTTGGTTTGTATACTCTATCTTATGCTGGTGCTGGAGTCCAGAGATAGGGATTAGCTCTATCAAATGGGCCCAACTGAGTAGGTTTTACCTGAAGATGGAAGCAGAATCAAGACTCTGAAACACTGTGTAACCTGTTGAGTCTGTTGTTTTGAATGGACATGTTGACTCCATCTTCAGGGCTGAAAATTAAGCCAAGCAAGCAACCAACATCAAGCAGGTGGCAAGCAAAGCAAGCTGGTTTATCATTTGGCTTAATCTCCAACCTTCAAAGTGGAAGTGGTATGTTCCTCTGAAACATCATATGACTTTCAACATACTACACAGTGTTATAAATATGAAGACAGAACTCTTCAATGTCACCGTTTACTCACTATAATTTATCTTTCAAAACTTAAAAAACAAGATTAAAAAAAATGTGGCATTAGGACTCCTCCAATACACCGTAAGAACAAGAATGCTTAAAACTTCTGAGATAGCTCAAGAAGTCAATAAATGATCATCACAAACAAAGCAAACTACTTCTTTTGCCAGTAAGGAACTAACAACAGCTTAATCAAATGAAGCGCCCAAAATAATAAAAGATAAAAAGTTCTTTAATATGAAATTTACAACAACTTAATATTACATACTTTAAAACATTTAAAATATCAACAGGTCTATTCAAAATTACACCAGAAATGCTTTTCATTTTAAGCCAACAGTGTGAATGGCAACACCACATGGAAGTTAATAAGCATTTTCAGAATTCAAATAAGTACAACTTAAAATGGGCCCACATGGTAGCGCAGGTGGTTGAGGCACTATGGTACAAGCCGGAAGGTCACACAGCCTGTTACAGGGATAACTTTACCTTCCTTTTTACAGTTTATATGATTAATGACAATATGCTCGCCATCCCACTCATATCATTAGATCAGTACTTACTTACTTACTCATGGAGCTGAACCCTTCTTGAGGAGCCGCTAATTCTGCAGCTACTCAAGAATTTCCCAGCATTTTATGGAACCCGAAGGTTCATCACCATGTTCACAAGAGTCCTCCACTGGTCCCTACCCTGAGCCAGATCTATCCAATCCATACCATTCTGTCCTATCTCTCTAAGATCCATTCTAATATTGTCCACCCACCTACACCCTGGTCCTCCCTGTGGTCTCTTTCCTTCTGGCTTTCCCACCAATATCCTATATGCATTCGTCTCCCCCATTCGTGCTACATGACCTGCCCACCTCATCCTCCTTGACTTGATCATTCTAATTATACTTGGAGAAGAGTACAAGTCATGAAGCTCCTCATTATACAGTTCTCTCCAACCTTCTGTGACTTCATCTCTCTTTGGTCCAAATATTCTCCTCAATACCCTGTTCTCAAACACCCTCAGTCTATGTTCCTCCCTTAATGTCAGAGACCAAGTTTCACACTCATACAGAACCACAGGCAAAATTATAGATCATTAGATCAGAATAAAACAAAATCCTTTCAATATGTCGAACAGGCCACTGCTTTGCAGCCACTTCTATAAACCAATCAAAATCCATGACAAATAGTACCATATGAATATCAGAATACACAACATGGAACAGATGGCATACCTGTATTAATGTAACAATTTCCACTTTGTTAAAAAAGATAAAACTTGATAATGTTGATAGCATGTTATCTTCAAACACAGATGGAGTTGGTAACACAACATCCTGAATGTACTGTACACGGTATGTTTGATGAATTTTTGCAAGAAGCTCTGGGTTCGAAATGGGAATGACCTCTTTAAACCTAAAACAAACAAAAAAAATCATTAGACTGGAAAGCTCTCATAATGTTGTTATCTATTTAAATTTGGGTCCGTTCCTGTTGTTCACAGAAACCAAGCAAATGGAGAAAAAGTTTATAAATGACAAATACTATGCAGTCATCATGAATTTCTTCATGGTATGTACAGCACGTAACATTTATGTGAATATTCTGATGCTTCTCAGATGTAACATGTGTTCCGGTACTGAAATCCGCATGTTGTAACCCTACATACTTCAGGTCCATAACATAGACACACTTTCTAAACACAAAAGTTTCACTTTAAACAAGTCTTTTTACTGGTGTATCTGATTCATAAACAAATTTGATAAAACCATCTGACACAGCTTTCAAACCATTTAATAAAATGCATTAATTCATCTTGGTATGTTTCAGCCGAAATTCTGCCATCTTCAGTGATGTTTAAACAACAGATATCCAAGTTTCATGTTACATGAATACACTGCAATCGAACTGTATATACAAGTGTCTCGATATTTTTGTAATGTATGACACATGATACAAGGTGGTTCAAATATGACTGAGACTGATTTAAAAAAAAAAACATAATTGTCAAACACTTACTTGCACATGTCAGTCTTCAAGGTACTCCCCTCCGGAGTCAACACATTTTTTCCAACTTTCTGGAAGCATCCTGATGCCCCCCCCCCCAAAAAACGACTTGTGGTTGGCGGCATATCCACTCCGAACAGTCTGGATTACGGCGTTGTTGTCCACAAACCACATGCCTTGCAAGTCTGATTTGAGCCTTCCAAACAGGTAGAAATCACTTGGGGCCAAATCGGGACTGTATGGCGGATGTGTCAGAAGGCTCCATTTCAATTTCCGAAGGGTTTCCATTGTTGTTTTGGCCGTATGGGGGCGTGAATGCCTTGAAGGAAGGCTACCCGCTTTCCACCTGTCTTCCGCTTGGATCGGATCTTTTCCTTCACGTCTGTTGCCAGGAGGTCTGAGTAATAAGGTGCATTGACTGTTCTGGCATGTCAGAAAGTCTACATGGATAACCTCCTGCCAGTCCCAGAAGAATGTTGCCATCACTTTTCTTGCTCTCTTGGGTTTGGGAGAACTGGTATGCCGCCACTCGCGTGATGACTGCTGGGACTCGGGAATGAAGTAGTGCACCCACGTTTCATCGGTGGTCACTACAGACTTCAAAAATGCATCACCTTCATCTTCAAACTGCTGTAGGAGACAACTGCCAGCTTGCACGTGTACCATTTTGTTCACGTTCGCCAAAGTGCATGGTACCCACCATGCATTCACCTTGCGATAGTGCAGGTGGTATTTCACGATGTCCTCTACAGTACCAACACTGATGGACAGCACTGCTCGAAGTTCCTTGATAGTGATGCGCCTATTCTCACGAATAAGCACGTCTGCACGATCAATGTTCGACTCGGTGATGGATGTTCACGGCCAACGATCATGCGGTTCATTCTCCACGCGCAAATATTTTATCACTTAAAATACAAGTATAGGATACCAGACATCATAAAATTACTTGCCTAGTCACTAAAGATTCCAACAACTAGTGCATCAGTCAAGTGGACAGCCTCTGCTAAGGCAAAGATTCATACTTAACTCATGCACTAACATGCTCATGTTCTGTAATGACAACCGAGAAGAAAATCCTTCAAGACTCAAAAAACAGCAAAAAAACTGATATTTTCACCAAAAAAAACTGTCATGTGCAACACAAGTACAGGATGCAACAAAGAAAATGCAAGCTCAGTAGTCATCAATTCTTCTTACTTTATATCTCCTTTCTCTTTTATGCCTACACTTAATTTTAAGCTCAAATCTGCATAGTTAACTTGTATTATATTTCAATTTCCAGCATTTTCATGACCTCCCCTGCCTCAAAATTTGGCTAACACATTTCAAAAAGTCATGTTCCACCACTGGCAGGGTTTGCATACAATTGTTTCGACATCGTAACACATAACAGCAGAACCGTAAGGGAATAAACTGTACAAACTCCCATAAAAACCAGCTGAAGAGGTCAGGATAATCAAGTCACTACCCCATGGAACCACCAAATTGTGACACAACGATACAATAAAACAAACCTATTGTGGGAACTGCCCACATGCAAGCGTGACAACGCAAGCATCATTGCTTAGCAACGACGAGTAAACAAAGGTTACTAGGCAAAAGCGAGTAAACAGCGGTTACTTAATAGGTACTGCTGTTGCTAGACACCGTGTTTGTAAGTTCCCTAGCAACCGCTAGGGATCATCAACGACTCCCACACCTATAACACCCCATGACAGAAGAGTAACACACTTAATATTTCCATAGCAACTAAAAAAATAGCCTTTAAAAAGGAATCTTAAAAAATAAAAGACTTACTGACTGAAATAAAAGCACATGCAGAATGTGGAAGTGCATGTGATAGCAACAATAGTCATAGGTGTGCCTGAAAGCCTATCACAATAATCCCAGAAGTATGTACGTGGATGATATCACTGGTAAACACTCCAGAACTGAAGAATACAGCCATTCTGGGAACAGCACACATCTTGTCGAAGATACTAACACAGCATTTACTTCAAAACGTACCCATGAGGCTATTACACAATGAAACTTAAGAACAAGGTTTGACCATGGTATTTGAACAGAAAATCCCATTAATATGGTGTGAAAATAAATATGTAACAACAATAACAATGATAAAAATTATATAACTTACCTGGCCAATTGTTTCAGGTACTGTCTATGCCGTTTGGGAGCTGGAGAACTTGGGTCGTACTCGAGACACCCTACCACATCAAATATTGTTTCCTCTGAAAATTTAAATGGAAAAATTGTGATAACTTGTTCAGATTTCCTTCTCAACATGCCAAAGTATGAATGGTATGCACAATTATTAGCATATCTTGCACACAAGACACATCAATTTCAATAAAACGAATCAGAAATGGGAAATAATAAACTCCAAACAGGGTCTATATTCTATGAGATAGAAATAAATATGCTGAAATAGTTTGGAGCATTCATACAGACTGCTCAAAAGAGTAATGAATTCAAGAATCTATCAGAAATAATCTTGTGAAAAGAATGGGACCATGCCATGGTAAGCTAGGAAAGTTATGATACAATAAACCAGAAAGAAGAACGAACAAAAAGGATATATTACAAAGCAGGTAACTGGTAACTGAAAGTGGAACTGATAATAAAAGGTCCTACATGGGAGAAGAAAAAAAAGAAAAAAATCTCATCTGACATACACAAACTAAAAAGATTCACACAACTTAAGTGAAATTGGGTATTGTTCCACATTCTTGTTATTAAAGTTTAATATAAACTGTCAGTAATACTAACCCGCAAACATTACTTCAAATAATGCATTCTTATTTAATAAAAAGATGTTCTTGAAAATTTCATAAAGATAATGCAGGCCTTCTGTATTCTCCAGATCTTCACACATATGGAAAAGATTTAATAGTTTTCTTATATAACCTTCATTTTCAATTGTAACTGCTAATTTTTCCTTCCTCATTGGTGATGTCAAACAACTTCCCATTAACTGCAATAAAAGGTAAAACATTACCATGCTGAAGAAAATAATGGAATTCATTCCAAAAGAAGAATTCCAACTAGTACAAATTACTTAAACTGATCAACATTTTAGCACTTTAACTCTGAACTTAATATCTGCAATGTGCAAGCTTATGGCCACCAAGAAGCTGTCAAGTGGTGTCTCCATCAGTGTTCCTGTGAATTTGTTGCAAATGACACAAAGTGAATGTTACATTAGTTATATACTATAGGAATAGATTTTATATATATATATATATATATATAAGTGAACTTTCTGATCAACAACAATGAGCAAACATTATTTCATGTTAGCCTACCAACACTTACAAACATTCTCCTAACAACGCATTCCTTCTTGAAGATTTACTCAGTCTCTCCAGACAACTGCTGAGCTAGTACCTTGACTAAGCCATGACAGCTTCCTTACAAATTCTTTCCACTTTCATTCATCGAATCCCCCTATCATATAAAACTATAACGCCCATAAAATAAACTACATTAGAAACGCTACCAAATTACATTCACTTCAACCATGAGTAAGGACTTATTGTATTGTAGCGTGTTCGTGTGTTACGCTACAAATAAACTCATGTAGGTCTCGGATTCTGTAGAACCTTTACTGTTCTTCACTTATACACTCACACGCTTTACAATCGTTATCACTTGCAGTGTTACAATTACTGCTTACAATATTCCGGCCGATACTGGACTGTCCCCTCTGGCGGTTGTTCCAGGACTCACTTCTTAGACGGCTGCTATCCCAAGACTGACTGTGCGAATACGTTCAACCCTGCTATATAACCTTGGTCGCTGCTAAGCAACGAACCCTTTGTTATAACCATGGAGACTCCTGTTAGAACTACAGTAGAGCGAATGTTGTTTTATATGCAACGGTCTATTCTAGCGTTTCCATAGAAGTTACTCTTCTGGATTGCCGACACGTTACAGTATTTACAAAATAAGAAGAAACTTCCTTAACATTTAACAAACTCCACTGAACAGCCTTCCTTAAGCAGGTGACAAAAGTACTCATATGGTCGAGAAATCAGTTGTCATGAAACCAGAAGACTCACAAGATGTACACAAAAGCCCATCACTGGACTCTCATAAATTTTAGTGACAAACCATTTTCTATTCCAAAGATGGACCAGAATGAAACAAATCGAAATCATTTTCTATTCGTTTGTTAACAAAAACATCACTCTTCACAACTACTGCACAACTTCAAGAAACCTGACAATATGCAGTGAGGTATGTAAGACCCACCTCATTGATTTCTTCAAGACGACTAAGCTCACATGGAGGTAGCTCAATTGGCGGAGCAGAGTCTGACATATCATCAAACCGCTCATCCTCTGATTCTTCCACAATATCCTGTGTGATGTCCACTGAGGGATCCTTCCCTTGAACTTGACATATTTTCTCCCAAATTTCATCACAACCAGCCTTTTCTTGAAAACTGAGTGCTAAATCAAAGTTGTCTCCTTCTGACCAAACAATGAGTGTATCCTATAAAAAAGACACAAACGTGGTAAATACAATCTCTGTGTGCATTAAATTTGCTGACTTTCTCTACAAACAATACCAGAGGAACTGGATTTTACACCACCTTGATTTTACATAGTTTTAGGAAAATAATCTGAGTAGCATAACAAGTGACATCAATGAAGAAAGCAGTCTTCTTGGATGTGGCACAGTGTATATGTGGTGTTAACCAACGTTTTGGAGGAACGTAGGCGATACATTCCTCCGAAACGTCAGTTAACACCACATATACACGGTGCCACATCCCAGAAGACTGCTTTCTTCATAGTCACCGCCATGAAAACCTCAAATCTTACAAAGTGACATCAAGTAAGCACCAGCAGAGACCTCCTGTGTGCACTTCTTGTATGGCGACACTGCGACACACAAAATTCCAGCAGTAATTACTGCTGTGATTGGCTAAGTCTGAAGCTTTCATCACCCCCCCCCAAAAAAAAAACAGAATTGCAATGCAGTTGTGAGCCTGTGCTGTGTGTTAATTAATAGGGTGTTAATGCATAAGAAATTATCAAGGGAGAGGGGGGGGGGGCTGAAAGTTAACTGAACTTCCTTCTTTGCATGCATGAAACACAGTGCCACATCAAGACTGGCACGTGGAACAAACTGTTTTTGAAACACCAACACAGACAATTTCAGTAATGTTAACATTACAGTCAAATATTTTGAATTGTTTCATTTTTGGTCCGTTACACTATCAATCACAAAGTTAATAGAAACACAACACACAGCACATAGGAAACATCTAACCATAAGCCATACAACCTCAAGCTGACATCTCCCATCTTCGGGATGAATTAACAAGGAGGAGCTTAGCATTTTACATCAAATGTTTTAAATATTTTAAATATTTTAACATTAGCGTTTTAACTTAAAAACAGTTTTGGATGGAAAGTGAGAATTGATAGTGTACTCAACTATCCTAGCAAGTGTTGTGCTTTTACACGTCAACATATTGTAGCAGCGTCCACACAACAAACATAACTGTGAACATCATAAACAACGACAGTGTTTTCATAATTGTAGTAAGTGCCTCTGATGATGGTTGTGTCAAACCGAAACATGTAAGGCAGAAGTGATAAAGAAGTGACCTACAAATTGTTACACTCGACGGACTTTCTATTAACTTTGTTAACTTTGTTACAGTCAAACATTCACTTAATTTTTAGTTCCGACTTCAGATACCACATTACTTGCATTTGAATCTGCATTCGTTTGTTTCCTTCTTTCTTTTTCTTTTCTTTTTGGACCAAAATTCAATCAACCTTTGAAGACATGATTTTACTTTGCCAATATACTGCAAACAGCCAAAAATTGAGTTATCACCTATGTACAAGAAAAGAAACCTTACTGGAAAAAAAGGTTCAGATAATATACAAAACCATTTACCTGCTGTTTCTGATATGCTGTGTCTGGCTGAATCTTTGACTCCAACAATAATGAGCCTGAAAATGTAAACATAATAAATCACTAACAACAGTCTTACTTTGTCTTTCACAGTCCCAGGCTTTTCCAGAAATTCTAACTGAAAATTTTTCATACATTTCTCTCGTGCTTCCTGCATACATACTGAAATAGTTTGTTTCCCAGTCTTTAGTAAATACAAATCACTGCAACTGATATTTAAACAAATGAATAAAAATCTATGCGGGGGGTAACAAATCTAAATTTCCACAATTCCTTATCTTAATGAACACAGTACACTGTAACAGATGAGACCAAACATCCTATTACCACACCTTCAGCAACATGCACACTCATTCATCACAGGCGAGCGAATTCTGACCAGAACATTTCAGCTCTAATTTAATGTGGTACAAAATGTAACAAACAAGTCTGTTACTGTCATTCACAAGGTGACAGTACATATAAAAGAATATACTATTTTTGCTAATGTGATCTTAAGTTTTAACAGTTAATGCAGAGTTATTAAGAATCTCCTATAAAAACATTGCTATAAAATACACAGCAAGAACTATGGACAAGTAGCCATGAGATTTAACTTGCTTTTCTGGAACCTTGCCTGTTAACTGTTTCCACAAATTTTACCACTGTAAAACTGAATGTTGATATTTTAAACTGATTCTTCTTTAGATATGCAAAGAAAATGTCATATAATTTCAAAAATTAAAGGATATGGTAAAAATGCAGCACAGACAAGAGGCCTATCTAGAAAAAAAACAGATGGAGCATGAATTAAGAAGTGGTGAAATATAATTTTAAGACAGTACATGAAATAGAGATGACAAACAACAGTTGTGATGGATATGAAGAAAAAGGTCAAGTAGTGAAACACAGTTTTTAAAAAAAAATCATGTAAATAAATGAAAGTAACACATATTTGTAACATATCCGAAAAATGGTCATGGAAATTACAACTGAAGCTTTATAACCACACGAAAAGAATTAAACTGCTATGCTTGTATTAACATAATACAATTAAAAGACTGTGACACTAGAAAACAAATGTAGTCAGATAAAGTAACACATGCTTAAGAATGCCATAAACAGCCAAACAGAACGTCAATCTGCACACAGTTTCCCTGGCTCTCAGAAGGGCCAAGAGAATGTAGGTGACAAATTTCAAATAACACCATGAACCAGAAACACAAACATTATGCAACAAATTGTTTACAATGAAAGATGTTCTTTAAACTTTATGCCTATGAGGCCAACAGTGAAGTTGGACTCCTCTGCTTCCCTCACCCCCAAGAAAGTTAATACAATCGGTTACAGAAATGGTGGCAGACTCAAAACTGTTAACAGGAGACACCAATGCCAGACAGATTGCTCAACACTACAGCTGTACAATGCACATTAGCATCTTTAGATAATTCATACCTAATAAGGAACAAAATGGGGAAAAATTCACTGAAATGATTAAAAAATTACATTCATATCACACCTAATAATGGCTGCAAACAATGAAATGACTCACCATCAGATTCTGCTCGAACTAGCAGTGAGATGCCTTTCAAGCGATCCACATATGAAGAAGAAACATGTCCTGTACCTCTGTCATCCCACTGCCTGTCTGCATTAAGCGCATAAAGCTTCACTCGTCTGCGTGTGTCCGTCATGGCAGAAAACAAGCTTTCACCTCAGACACCTATTTCACTGTCCCAGGCAATATCATCTACAAACACAGGAGTGTTATATTTTAGCGTCCTGTTACACTGATTCATGTCCATGGTTTATGCTGACCGTCTTACAGTATATACACTTTTTCACCTTATTCTTTACTTCCACACTACATGTTTCAGCACTAATGTGCCATCTTCAGGTGTCTTTATGCACGTTAAACTATTGTACTGCATGCCATAATGTGTTCATTCTAAAATGACTGAAATCCGTATTCGTCATATTGGACGATGAATTCTAAACAATAAAACTTTTCAGGATTCTTCCTACATCGCACTCAAACGCGAATTATGCCAATCCTCTTTTATGTGAGCATTCTTCCTATATATATTTGTGTATTGTGTTCTGTGTTGTTTTGCTCCTGTTACTGCATGCGTTGTACTGCAGTAAAATGCATGCATGTAGGAAGAATGCTCACATAAAAGAGGATTGGCATAATTCGCGTTTGAGTGCGATGTAGGAAGAATCCTGAAAAGTTTTATTATTTAGAATTAATCGTCCTATATGATGAATACAGATTTTAGTCATTTTAGAATGAAGACATTATGGCATGCAGTACAATAGTTTAACGTGCATAAAGACACCTGAAGATGGCACATTAGTGCTGAAACATGTAGTGTGGAAGTGAAGAATAAGGTGAAAAAGTGTATATACTGTAAGACGGTCAGCATAAACCATAAACACAGGAGTATTTTCTACTTCACTATGCTAACATGAACTCTGTCACATAATATAGCAGGGTAATGATAAACCACTGGTATGCCACAAATGGCTTGCAAAAGTAAAAAGCAATGAGAATAAAGCATTTTATTTTATATTATTAGAAATTACAATGTGGAACTTCAAAATTAGTCACCTTCATTGAATATTTGAATATTATTAGGATAGTCGAATGAAGGAGAGATGAAAAATGAATATTGTGGCATATCTGCTCCATGCAAGAACTGCTGAGCCATAGAAACCACTATTTCTAAGTAATACATGCACACAACAATGGAAAACTGTGTTATGCAACCTGCTCTCATGCAACAGCTTGGTAAACACACTTCCACTCTGGCACAATGATGCCTAACCCCCAATAATGCTTGGCTATCATGTGACATGTATTTTTTGTGTGGTGGCACTACACAACAATGGAACTGTGTTCTCTACATTGTCCATGCAGTGGCTATATAACACGAGTCCGCTGGCAGCTAAGAAGGGTTCTTACTTGAGTTCCAAAGTTCCAAGGGAACAGCAATGTGGCCAAAAGACTTAACATGTGATGTTACGTGTATATCGATATTGGGAGTTTGTAATTTAGTGAGACTTTTATAGCTCCTTTGTTATAAATTGTGTTGCCTGGAAACAGATAGCGAAGACTAGTGGAAAAGGACTCAGAAGATTAGTGTGGAGTGATTGTAAATTGTGTAAATTAGCAATAGTGTAAGAACTAATTATAGTTACAACCTGTAAGTGGTTAAAAAATCTGAATACCAATCCGACCTCATCTTTGGTTACTGATACATGTGACAATATAATAAATTAGTGGGATTCATTTACGTCAGGAGAGGGACAAGTGGTGGGCCCTTCTGAACACTGTATCCAACCCCCAATGTTTAATAAAATGCACAGAATTTGACTGAGCAACTATTGGCCACTCAAGGGTTCTCTTCTACAGCCAGCTGCTTTGCTATGAAAACAGTTAACTGGTATTAATGTCCATAACCATAATGAATTACTGTTAACTTTTGCATTTCTTTTAATATAATGATTACCCCATTGAATGTTTGGCTTGATTACCCAAGCACTGAGGTTTAATTTTTTCTGCAGTTCCAATATGGACTAGATTCTTTACGTAAAACACACACTTACATTTAAAATGACAACAAAATAAAAATATTTACACAAATCCATACCTCAGCACCAGCACTCTATATATCTCTCGGAAATATGAATAACGTTGATCCCCTTAAGATGAAATTGAAACCAAAACATTATCCATTATCACTGATGTAACAATCTCAGTGGCAGTCAGTCATCTCTGACTCATCTTTGTGTCTATCCTGAAACAGCAAAAACAGGTTATGCAAAGCACAACCCAGTATATTTATTAGAAATTATGATGTCAATGATCGACATCTAAAAAAAATGTGTGATATGCTGATAAACAGATAGAGACAAAATTTTACAGCAGAACAATACCAATGAGAATCGAAAGTAAAGAGGAAAAAGAGATCACAATATATTACTAGAAAAAGCTGGAACACTACAGCAAGTAGAGGGAAAATATTTAAATACAGAAATACAAAAAACTGAGAAGTTATATCTTCTGGGATACAAAAGCTGTGTAATCCATTGAAAATCAACTGACAGTTCAGAAGAATGTCACCTTCATCTTCAGGGTCAAGAACAAGCCAAGCGAGCTCGGTACCTGCTTCTTTCAAGATATTTATTTATGTGCCAAAAAAATGGCATTCCAAGAAAAATCTTCTCATAACAGAGGAGACCATGTAAGTACCAAACTTTCTGCTCATAGAAACCAAGGTTTCAATCAACATCACTTGAGACACATAATTTTACTGACACTTGTTATCTTCTCACATGGTGCAAGAGTACCATTTTACATTTCATTAGCTGCTGTAAATGAAAAAATATGACAAATGTGAATTTTTACTTCACTAAATACAGCTTATGTGACATTAAAAGTAACACTATAGTGTTTAAAAGAAAAATACCTTGAAGTGAAATTACCCCAGCGCATGAATTCCTGTTACTTTGCACATGCACATACAAACTAAAGCCACTATGAATAATTCACACAGCTTCTGATTAAAGTTTATATAAGAGTTCTTACTAAATGCAATTTTAAGCAACTTTCTCTTTTATCCTGTTACATTACAATTCTCCATTATGTGCAGTACTTCAAACAAGAAATGGTATGGTGAGAGTGATAAATGAACTGGCAGGAAAGATGAAAAAAACAACCATGCATATTTTAGGTCATTACTGTATAATGGAACTCTCCTCCAACTAATGAAGAAGTCAATAAAATGTGGATCTATATATTCACTCCCCCCATACACCTTCCTGGCACAGTGCTTAATTAGTTAAACATGGTAACAACTTTACATTTTACCTTTACTATACTATGGAATTTGCATATAGGAGAAAAATAAAAGAATATATAATTCACTTAGGCTAGTCTCTGGCTGCGAGTAGAACTCAGTACCTCTGCATGCACATTACTTGCGCTGTGTGAACATTTTTCAGGGAAAGGCAGCAGAATTTAGAATAGACCATATTCTGCCAAATGTCTTCAAAACACGTATATTCTCCAAAATGACAGGTTCACACTAAACTGATCTTCAAGAACATATGAGATATTTTGCATATTTGTCAACCCTGTTTACCTCCTTTCACACACTCAATTTTGGGGATACAAATCTATATATGGGATGGAACCAATGTTGACTACATCCAGACCATTCATACTGCAGTCTTCTGGGTTATGACACTGTAAAGTAAATATTTTCATCTTTAAGGCAGAAGTGAATTAGGCAGGAAAGTGGCGGGTAATGTAAAAACTTGGGGAGAAACAGTCACAGAGGATAGTAGTACACAATTAGAGCCACAAAAAAGTTAAAAGACAAGGTCCAAACAAGCAGACTGTAACAGCTGGCAATGAACAGGGCAATTATTCCAGGTCAAAAAGATGGAAGGAATGGTAACAGTCTGTTTGCAGTTGCACATAAGGAAGAGCAAACAAACAGCCCTCTCACGGAGCAAGGGAAGAACTACACCAGGAGCCATTCGCAGGGCACTGATATAAGAGCTAATTGTCATCCTTCTGTGTCCTCCAAAAAGGCTCTTTGTTACTCTTCCTTCCCCTTGTTCTGAAGCAGTTGCTTTTCAGAGTCTTACCTCTGGCCCATCTGGACCTTGACCTCCCCCCCCCAAGTCATGGATCTAATTAACCGGCCACTTTCATAACTTGGCTTCCTTCTACAGTGAAGATGGACACAATATGTTCCTCAGAAGTACTGGTGCCCACAAGTCCTAACTAAAGGACCACAATGTGAATCTTCACTGACTTGAAGACTACAAATTGTAATACATTTACAAAGAACCTTCTTCATTTATCAATCTGTGGTTTATGCAACAATGCTTCCAACTGCTATGCTCATATAACATCAAATCATCAGATGATTGGTGAATAATGAATTAGAAAATATGAAGAAAGGAGTGGTCATTCCCCATATGTGACACTAACCTGAAATTTGCCTGGAGGATCTGAGGAAGATCATGAAAAACCTAAGTTAAGATAGCCAGTCTCTGCATGAAACTAATGAATATGAAGCAGGTACTAACCACATAACTTTGACAGTCAATCCCAGTCAAAACTTCACATGCCCCAAAACATATTACACTATCTCCACAGCCTCATTCTGCTAGCTACCTGCTTCATGCTGGTTTTTTGCTTATTCTTTGACCCTGAAGAAGGACATGACATTGTCCTCCAAAACGCTGGTTGACTTTCAATGGACTACACAGGGTTATATCCTATAACACAGAATTCTTCATATATAATTTGTATTTAACAGCAATATCAATTGGTCTCAAGAGTAAATTATACAGTTACATCCTGCAAATTATAAAATGGCCAGCTTTTAAACATTCTTACTTCATGCAGTGGAATCAACTAGTTTCTAGACTGGTCACATGATATACTGCAATTAGGAAGAAATTCCTTTGCTAGCTTGAGCTACAGTTGAATCTGCTGCATCATTTGCTGTTTATATCAAAACTGCAGCCTGAGTCACTCACATACAACACTTTGTGAAATGAAGTTGTGTGTTCCGTGATTTCAGTTTTACAAGATGTCAGATTTCAAAGAGCAGTGCAGCAAAGCTGCTAGAGAAGCCTGTAAGATGTTAAAACTTGCTTTTCGAAAGGAAAAATGAGCAGAACTTAAGTTCAAAAGTGGAATGACATCAATTAACAATGTCAAGCATTCAATATGTACAACCATGAAACAAAATGTGGCACGAATCAAGGAATTTACTCATGAAAACAAACATCTCACTATCCATGACCTGATTAATTACAAGGATAACTCACATAGATCATACCACACCCTTAAGAAACAAAAAGCAAGCAACAGATTACCACAGAATTCATACCTCAACTGCTGACTAACAAGCAAAAGCAGAATCGTGTTAACATGTGTCACGGCCTTCAAGAACAACTTCAAAGACTTACAATTTTTTTAACTCATCACATGGGATGAAACTCTAGCTGAAAGGGAGGAGATCTGACAAGTCACCATAATTCAAGAACTGCAGGGTGCACATGCCAAAACCAAAACGCAAGATTTCTGCAACTGCTTTCAGTAATCACATAATTACTACATTTACTGTATCATGTCATAAGAGAACTGTTTCAACGAGGATGGAATGAAATAAACAAAGCTTTCACAACTTAAAGGAGCTGAGCTCTTCTTCAGAAGCTGCCATTCACTCAGCTACTCAAGAATTTCCCCAACATTTTATGGAACTCGACAGCTCATTACCATGTTCACAAGAGCCCTCTACTGGTCCCTATCCTAAGCCACATCAATCCATTCCATAGCATCCCACCCCACCTCTCTCTAAGATCTATTTTAATATTGTCCACCAACCTACGTCCTGGTCTTCCCAGTGTTCTCTTTTCTTCTGGCTTTCCCACCAATATCCTATATGCATTCCTCTTTGCCCTATTCATGCTACATGTCCTGCCAATCTCATTTTCCTTGACTTGATCATTCTAATCATACTTGGTGGAGAGTAAAAGTTATGAAGCTCCTCATTATGCAGTTTTGTCCAACCTCCTGTCACTTTATCTCCCTTCGGTCCAAATATTCTCCTCAGCACCATATTTTCAAACATCCTCAGTCTATGTTCCTCCCTTAACATTAGAGACCAAGTTTCACACCCATACAGAACCACACGCAAAATTATAGTTTTGTATATTCCAATTTTCATGTTTCTAGACAACAGACAGGAAGACAAAAGGTTCTGGACTGAATGGTAGCAAGCATTACCCGAATTCAATCTCCTCTTAATTTCTTCCTAAATCAAAATTTGATTTGTTACTGTCACTCCCAAATACCTGAACTGTGCCATACTGTCAAAGCATCTGTCAGCTATGTTTATGTCATGATTTTACCCTGCATTCTGGTGACGAGATACCAACATACAGTTTTTCTGCATTTACTTCTAAACCAACTTCCTTACTAATGTCAATTAAGACTTTTCTTGACCTCGGCACTAGCTGGAGATGAGTGATCAGCTTAACGCCCTTGCCACTTTACCAGATTTTTGTCTGTTACCAGATATAATCTGAAAGATTTACATCATTACCATGCTTGCGTGGTTGACCCAGAAACAAAATTTCATGCTGAATTTCTGGATATGTTAATGATCTATCTCCATATCAGATTTCATGTAGCAGTTCCAATTGTTCATCAATTACAGTCACCAAACCAAAATATAAACATACATTTCTGCAGTCCCCACATGGTTATTTTAAATTTTTGATGGTGGAAGGGGGAATAAAAAATTGCACACTTTTCAAAATCATACTACCACATATCACTACAGGGTTCCAAAGTTTTATAGATATATATGTAGGTAAGTCAATAAGTCACAAATGGATATAAAACTTAAAAAAATAAAAGTATTGATTCCAAAAATGCTTTTATTTCTCAACATAATCTCCCTGTACATTGAGGCACTTGTCCCATCATTTCACAAGCCCATGAAAACCAGCAGCATAAAATTCTTTGGGCTGCTGTCGGAACCAGGCAGTGACTTCCTTTCCTACAGCTTCATCGTCAGGAAAATGTTCAGTCGAAAGATGATGTTTAAGAGGGCCGAACAAATGGAAGTCGTTTGGAGCCACGGAGATTGCCACAGAGGTGAACGTGCAACAGGTTAAAGACTTAATCTGGACAGAAGAGTAACTATAGACACTACAGCCACTGCTATTGGTTGTTCACACAGCATGGCCTACTTCATAATGCCTG